ACTTGAGTTGGGCTGAGTCAAATGTCTGAGGCTAAACACCCTACTGCCACCCCCATGATGGGGGGATGGGGAAGTGAGGCTTTGCAAGGGCTTCTTCTCAAGGAAAAGCCGTTGTAAAGTCTTGCCACGCTGCTTAAGGAGAAGCCCTTGCCAAATCTCCCTTCTCACTTGGCAACAAAGCTCTTGGTGAGAGGGGAGACATTCTGCAAAGCAGAGCTTCTCCGGCAGCCGTGGCAGTGGTGGGATGGGAGGAGAGCTGCCACTTGCGTTTCCGCCAATTGTGGTGGCTTTTTCACCCGCTTCACCTGCAGGCCAGCTCTGCTCTAACCATTCTGCCATGCTGGCTCTTCAGCTGCTCTGCAGACAAGATAGTTTTTCATTGAAGTTCTTGAATGCTGGTCAGGGACAGCAGAGTTCAGCCTTGGCAATGATTTTTACCGTACAGTCATGACAGAGAATAAAAAGGGCTAAAGTTGTGGCATGTGGACCTCAGTGATCTCATGGCCTCTTTGGATGGAAAGGTCATTGTGCCCACAACCTTGGTCATTATCTCCAGTTTCTAAAAGATCAGGGGCTCATGGCTTTTGCCTTGCCACAGCCTCACTGAATGATAAACTGTGAAACGACTGCGGGTTGAGACCTTCCAAGGAGTTGAGGAACTCATGATTCGAGAGCAAGATTTTAAATACATGGAGCTACCTTGACCTTTTCAGCTCTGCCTTACATAACCTTGCCATGAATAGCGAGAACCTCGCAGATTCTGCAGAGGGAGTACAACTGCTCTGCCTTAATTGGAAAAGTTACAACTGGTGACATGGCTTCCAATACAGATGAATCACCACCAAGGCGTGAGTTATGAGACTTTGTGGGATCTCACACTCCTGGTGGGTGCTCTGTGGAGCTGTGCAAGTGCTTTCCTATGAGTATTTTAAAGCACACACACACACACACACACACACACACACACACACACATGCTATTCAGACCTGGGGGGTTTTTTCTGGTGCTTCACCATCATTCCACCCCCTCCCTCTCCTAAAGTGATCCTAACCAGACAAGGATCACAGAGGACAAATGTAACCAAGGGAAAGTGAGGAAGATACTTCCTTACTGGTCACATTGGTGATCCTGTTGCCAGCACTGTGCTTCTTCTCTAGACCAGCAAATGAAGAACAACTTGAAATGAACAAGTGAGGAGTGAAGGCTTGTGCTCCAGAAGTGCCCCCCCCCTGCAAATGGTAACTCCCAGGGACTTGTTTTCCTACTAGGAAGGGCATGGGGAGGAAGGGAAGCACTATCTGCTTCTTGCATTCTGAAGGCTTCTGTTTCCTCCCTCTTGATCAGGGTCAGAAACCTGGAGCCCTCCAGATGTTGCTGGACTACAACTCCCTTCAGCTCCAGCCAGACTGGCCTTCAGCCAGAGATGATGGGAGCAGTCATCCAGCAGCAAGTGGAGAGTCATGGGTTTCCGAACCCTAGCCTTCACCTACAGGTAAGGAACAGAAGCCCATAGGCTGAGAGAAAGGGAGCATAGACTGCATGCAGACCTCCAAGTGTCTCTATTTTCCACAGGTGTCCTTGATTTAGAGAAGTCATCCCAGTTTCTGATTTGATCCTAGAATGTCTCACTTTCCCTTAGGATGTCCCTATTTTTATGGAAGAAATGTTGGAGGATATGGAGTTATCTCCCAAGCCGTCTGAAGGCAATCCTGTATAGGGAAGGTTTTTAATGTTTTATTATGTTATTTATATATGTTGGAAGCTGCCCAGTGTGGCTGGGTCAACCCAGTACGATGTGTGGGGTATAAATAGTAAAATCATTGTTATTTTCATTGGAGAAATGTTGGAGATTATGCTGCATGCAAAGCGTTAGCAACCACACTGTGCTCAACTCCCTTATTTTTGCACAAGAGAATTCACAGTGTCATTGCACTGCATTGATTTTCTTGTGGGTCCCACAAGTGGAAAGAGGCTTGCAACCTCTCCTGAGATTTTGCTAATCTCTTATTAAAGGCCCAAGATGATTCACCAAAGCCAGGAACATCCCAATTTGCCTTTGACATCCCACTTTGAGTCAGGATGGGGGACTTGGTGCCTGCCACATGTTGTTGGATACTGTTGTCCATAATCGCTGACCACTGGCCATGCAACCAACAACCAGGAATGGATTAACTATTAAGCAAAATAAGCACATCAAGGAAAGGGGGCACCATAGATATTTTCCATTGCCAGATTTTTAACATTAATGATCACGAATTGCTCAGATGAGTGTTCCTTTAGTCATTTGAAGTATATTAAAAACAGAATGGACACCATGAATAGAATTTTGGTGACAAGAGTAATTCCACCTTCATGAAAATATGCATTCATTACTCTGATCCCAAAACAAGACAGTGACTTAACAAAGACCAAAAATTATAGACCTATTTCATTATTGAATTGTGACTACAAACTATTTGCTACAATCTTGGCTAATAGATTGAAAAGGACATTGACTGAGTCAGTCCACAGAGACCAGGCCGGATTTTTACCAGGCCAACAAATAAAAGATAACATAAGAAATGTAATTAATTTAATAGAGTATTTAGAAGTAATAAATGGAAAAAAGGCTGTGTTAATCTTTTTAGATGTGGAGAAAGCTTTTGACAATATTTCACGGTCATTTATGATCAAGGTTTTAGAGAAAATGGAAATAGGTAATTCTTTCCTAGCAGGAATTAAAGCTATACTGATCAATCTGCAAATGTATTAATAAATAATATTCTTTCAGACAAATGGCAAATAGAAAAAGGAACAAGACAAGGTTACCCTGTCTCCACTGCTGTTTATATTGACATTAGAAATACTGCTTCGGAATATAAGGAGAAACAGGCAAATTAAAGGTATTAAGGTGGGACATAGAGATTATAAATTAAGGGCATTTGCTGATGATGTGGCGTTGACACTAGAAAAACCTTTGGAGAGCGTTCCCAAAGCATTAGAAGAAATGAAAAGGTTTGGAGAAATGGTGGGTTTCAAAATAAATTCAGATAAAACCAAAATGTTGGTTAAAATCATGGATGAGCAGATGAATTTTTTTTTAGAAAGGGCATCTAGACTAAAAATAGGCAAAAAAGTTAGGTATTTGGGAATTTGACTGGCAGTAAGAAATCTCAACCTATTTGAAAATAAGTATATAAAATTGTGGAAAGAGGTTAATAAAGAGTTGGAAATATGGGGGAGAAACTCCCCCAGTTAGGTAGAATTTCAGCCATTAAAATGAATATACTGCCTAGGATGCTGTTTTTCTTCCAATCAATCCTAATTGTAAATAATTTAAGCTGCTTCAAATAATAGAAAAAATATATCTCTAAATTTATCTAGCAGGGGGGAAAGTCAAGAACTAAACATAAAACTAGGATAGATACAAAAGAAAGAGGATGCTTTGCTCTGCCAGATTTGCAAATGTATTATGAGGTAGCCTGTTTGTGTTGGTTAAAAGAATTGATTGTATTGGACAATGCAGACATCTTAGATTTAGAGAGTCATGACTTAAAATTTGGCTGGCATGCATGTCTCTGGTATGGGAAGGCTAAAATCTACAAGAATTTTATGAACCACATTCTTAGGAAGAATATGTATGGAGTTTGGGAGAAATATAAAAATCTGCTGGAAAGAAAAACACCTTTATGGCTATCTCCCATTGAAACAATTACAATTAAGAGAGTTAATATGGTCAGACAATGGGCGACTTACAGGGAACTGCTGGATTTTATGGGGGGGGGGGACCCAAACTGAAATCAATGGAAAACTTAAAGAGCAAGTTATGGATTGGTTGCAATATCACCAGTTACATGACAAGTTTAAATTAAATAGAAAGAATGGATTTCTGGACCAAAGCTCACAATTTGAAAAATAATTCTTACAAAATAAGGATAAACTTAAAATATAAAATTTTATACTAGAATGGGAAACAAAAGATGAGTTTGTTAAAGCTTCAATGACACACTGGGCAATAGATATAGGACACAATATAGATCTCAACCTCTGGGAGAAACTCTGGGAAAGCGACCTAAAATTTACTGCATGTTATTCACTGAAAGAGAATTATTTGAAAATGATTCATAGATGGTACTTAACTCCGAGTAGGTTGGCTAAGATTTATAAAGCAGAATCAGATATGTGTTGAAAGTGTAACGGAATGGAGGGAACTTTTTTTCCACATGTGGTGGGCATGCAAAAAGGTAAAAGTTATTGGGAAATAATTTATAGTGATTTTTAAAAAAATGTTCAAAACTACTTTTCAAAAAAAACCCCAGACTGAAATTCCTAGGTGTCAGAAAAGGTTAGTTATGTACGCAACAACTGTGGCCCATGTTTTGTTAGCCCCCAAATTGGAAAGTGAGCGAGGTCCCAACTAAAGTGGATTGGCAACTTACGTTGACAGAATATGCAGAACTTGCAGATTTAACACATAGAATAAGAGAGCATGAAGAACATACATTTAAAGAAGAGTGGAAAACATTTATTGAATATATGGAAAATAACTGTATACAGCTGAAAACGCTGGCAGCACTAAGATAAATTCAACAGAGTAAATTATATTTGATGGATGTAAAAGTGGAAAACTGATTTGAATGGTTATAGTAAAATATGCAGGGATGTATGATATGTAAAATGAACCATTGAAAGAGAAGAAGGGAAGTCACTGGATATTTTAAAGTTTGTAAAATATTTATTTGGAACTGTAAAATTGAAAAATTAATAAAAATTATGATTTGTTGCCAAAAAAGAGAGAATCCCAGCAGAACGGCTATGAAACAAGGCAGGCTGAATGCCTTATCTCTAGTAAGTAAAGAAACAGATGTGTTACATAAGATTAGTTTTGAAGATCTGATCAAAGACTGCAATTAGAAAAAGTAGGAGAAAATTTATCAGATATAAATAAAGTGATATACAAAAATAAACATTTTCCATCTTACTATAGATGCCATTCTATTTTGATTTTTTTATTTTATTTTACAGTTTATTATTGTTGATATTTTTATTAGATATATGGGAGCACCAAAATCTTTTAAGTGCTTAGGAACTCCAAAGGTCTTAATCCAGCTCTGCCCACAGCATCTGGAGCACAAAAAGTCCTTCCCCTCCTGCTTTAAGCAAAATGGTTGTGAAATCTACACATGGATCAGCCCTTAGCAAGCATCCTCATGTCTCCTTAGGTTTTGTCAAATTTTCTCTCAGAAAAGCTGGAGTTCTGCTCAATCTCAACTGGCGGCAATAAAGATCTACAGTCCTTCAAAATCCAACACAGAATAACGTATCTACAGAATCTAGCTAAAACGGCCATAACCATCCCAAAGCCCTGCCCCCAAATACTTTTCTCTCTCTTCACATCTGTATTTATATCACCTTAAATTTGGGCTTTGCAGCATCTTCAAAGCCTGCGGAAATAAACTAAACAAGTCTTTCTCATGCTGCCATAATGTTTACAGGGTTTCTTCAGCCGACTCCTTTGTAGCAATTTCTGTGCCTCGTTGACTTTCAACAGAAACAACAGGATTGGTTCAGCAGGAAGACAGGAAGAAAACAAAGCCTGCATCTGAGTACAGTTCTTTAAAAAACCTGATGTGACAATGACTCTGGTGCAACAAACCATTTGCCCAGAAAATGACAACAAAGGCAGAGAGGTAGAAAAGGCTATAACCAAAGTAGACCTCAACTGGTGAAACACATGCACATACAGAATGGAATGTGAGAGAGAAATAAGAGGGCTGAAAATTGCAGCACATTAGGAGCCAAGAAACTGTCTTATAAGTCTTATAAGTCAGACCATTGGTCCATTTAAACATCTAGAGACTGCTCGCAGCTCTCTAGTGTATCAGGCAAGAGTCTTTCCCAACCCAGCCTGGGATTGAAAACTCAGGAACTTCAGCAAGCAGAAAGGTAATGACCGCTGTATAGGGAAGCTTTTTAAAGTTTAATGTTTTATTATGTTTTTATATATGCTGGAAGCCACCCAGAGTGGCTGCGGCAACCCAGTCAGATGGGCAAGGTGCAAATAAACAACAACAATTATGATGATGATGATATTAATAATATTAACAATAATAGTAATAATAGTAATAACAGTATTAATAATAATTAAACCAACCAGTGGATAGTTCCTTATGCACAATCAGTTCAGCTTCAGAAACAAGATAGAGTGATTTGGAATGACAAAATCTAGAGAAAAAATAGGAGGAGAAATAAAAAACCCAGAAGTGAAAATGTTCAGCCCAGTGCTCTCATATCATTGTTGTCTCATAATATTAGAACATCCCATGAAGTGGAATGTTGAAAGGTTCAGGACAGACCAAATAAAACACACACACAAAACATAGATAAAGCATGGAATTTGATACTATAAGATATAGCAATGGCCAAATTCCCGAAGGAGATGGCTATCAATAGCTACTAGCCATGATGGCTATGTTCTCCATTGTCTAAGGCAGTAAGCCTCTGAATGCCAGTCACTGGGGTTCACAAGTGGGGGGGGGGAGAAGGGCTGTTGTGCTCAGGTCCTGCTTGCAGGCTTCCTATAAGCATCTGGTTAGAACAGGATGCTGAACTTGATGGGCCTTTGGTCTGATCCAGCAGGGCTCTCCTCATGCTCTTAATTCATGCTTCTCAAGAACTGCTTCTCATTCTTCCCTGTACTCTGAGTGAGCAGCTCAGTGATCGCATCACAGAAAGGGCCAAACGGCGGCTGTAATGAACATGGCAAGCAACCTTTGGAGACAATAATCCAAGTTAAGGCTTTTGTTCCAATTGGCCTTTGGAATGAAAGTCTCGGTCTTTTGTTGACTTGAACCCATCTACAACTTTCCCACCCCCCTTCTCATTCTCTTTCATTTCTTTTTTCTTTCCTGTGGGGAAAATATCTTTAAGATGATAAAGAAGCAAAGAAAATTACTGCCCGAATTCTTGAAAGTGACTGTTGAAGCAAAACAATTATTCTATTATAAATTAATAATGCAATTCATTTGTAATCTATTATTGAGTGCTTGAAGAATAGTTTATGCTCAAAAGGACTGAAATTTTCTCCCAGAACCCATTTATTGTGGAAGATAAATTTAAGGGTAGTGTCACATTTTGAAAAATGTTATTTTATTGGCAGTAATTTTTCATGGTACCTGTGGGGACGAGATGACAGCTCAACACTGCAATTGTCCTTCATGTTGATATCCTTTTTTAAAGTTGAAATTGCCCTGGGAATATACGGGACGTGATTTATTTCCCTCCCACCCACCTCAGCCCTCTGGAAGATTTCTGGTGGGGGGCTGTGAAAAGGGATGCTCAGGAAGCAGAGACAAAACGGGAAATGAATCCACCATACAGATGTATGCAGGAGAAAAGTGGGGAAAGGAATAGAGAGTGATATTCAGTCCCTCAAAATATTGGCTGTTTGACGCCAAACATCCTCAATATGTAACGGAAGCACCCTGGCAATCGTCAGGGGTTGAGGTGGGTACCGTCTGCAATTTCACAAAAGCCCAGAAAAGCCACAGGATTCAGAAGGGGCTGGAGAACTCAGTTTAACATTATGGTTCCCATACCATACCAGCGATGTCCTCCCGGCTTATGCAGCTGCAGAAGCAGGTCCCCATAATGAGCCCCCAAAGCCCTCATTCTCCACCTTCAAATGAGGCAGTGAAAGTTCCTGCCTTGCTGCTGCTGCTGCTGCTGCTGCTGCTGCTGCTATACTTAGTCACCTTCAAAATGAGATCAAATGAGACCAAGGTAATTAAGCGATTAGACAAGGGAAATGATAAGCATGTAAGCACTCGTTGCAACCTTGGAAGTTCTTGTTCAGTACAGGGCAAGCCACTTACTTCCCTGTCACATTAACTCTGCAAAAGAATCTATTTCCTTACTTCTCCAACTTTGGAATCATTCCCCAGTATCCCCAACCGTCTTGGGCAGAGACACACACACTGAAATCCAACTGACATTTGGACACCACAGGTCCCAAATATCTGAAAAGTCACCTCCTTCCCCCTCAGATACTGACTTTGGCAGAGGCTGCCCTCTGGGTAGTTCATCCTCCCTCAGAGGCTCAGGGGGTGACAGCAGTCTGGAAGAGGGCATTCTCTGTGCCAGTCCCAAAGCTGTAAAAGTCCTTCCACATAGAAGTCCCTTCCTTATACAACTTCCAGAGGATGCTGAAGACACAGCTCTTTACCTTTGATGAGATATTTTTAGGACCCACCTTATTTTTGTGATTGCAAGTTGTTTTAAACTGCTTTTAATGTTGTATTTTAATGTTGTAACCCGCCCTAGAACCTTAGGGTGAAGGACGGCTAAGAAATTACAACAATAATGTAATAATAATGAGTTTTAATGTGCATAACACTGCCCTGTGACCATATAGGGAAGGGCAGTGAAAACCAATCCCCACAAGGAAGACACACCATTATCTTGCTTCAGATTTAACCTCAAGTAAAGCACAAACTTTCAAAGTTTGGGAGCAGATCCAGCCTTGCTATGAAGTTATATTTTGTGCCACAAATCCTAGGGTGTTGTTTTTTTCCTGTTTGGGGGTTCTGATCCTTCCATCATTAAATTTTGGCTATTCTCCAGACCTGGCTCTGTGTCTTTTTAAAGCAGTTGTATCCAAAGTTTAGTAATTAAATTGTGTGGACCTTTTTGTGTGGCATGCTAGTTTCATTCCTAAATGTATGGTTGCTGACGTATGGCTGGTTTCACCCTCTTCTCAAAATAACATGGTTTGAACCTGTATACACTAACACGGTCCAAATAACTAATGAACGAGGGCTGTCTGGTGAGGGGTAAGACTTGTACCTAGGGGTTGGCGTCCAAAAGTCAACAAAAACCACTGCCCCCAGCACAGTAATCATTCTGCCATTTGGCAACGATGTCTCAAGAGGTGCTGGAACCTATGTCAAAAACAGGTGAAGTCAAGCCAAGGTCACATTTCAGCCTGTCCTCTTGATTCAAAATGACTGTTGGTGTCCAAAAGTAGATGAGGACTGCCCCCCCCCCCCACACACCTTGGGAAACCTCATGCTGAGTTTGGCAATGATATATCAAGAGGCAGCTGAACCCACAATATATAGAATAAATAGACAAGAGAAACCATTTCCGAAAATACCTATAAAGTAGATATGGGTGTTTTGGTTTGCTTAGTTGGCATCTGTAGCGGACTCACCCCTCTACCTGCCCCCAGTGGAAGAGTGAGGACAGCAGAACTAGCATAAAACTAATGCATATTTGTAGAAAAGGCATATCCTTAACCTCTGTTGGAATCAGAAACAACATCAAGGACATTTCTTTTGCCTGCTTAGACTGGATATATGTAATTACCACTACATTATAAAATGACCTGCATAGTTACAATTTAAAATTAATACATGATATATTGTCTTGCGAGCTTTTTTTGTTTTTAATGAATAGAATAAAGAAATGTGATCTGGCTAATTATAGCATCTGCCCCTCACAGTCTCTATTGAGAAAGCACTCAATCCCTTCTTAATCTCTAAACGGGCAGACAAATTAGTCCACATTGCCGTTAGAGGGCTGCTTGGGATCAAGGCAAAACTGTACGTGTAGTGTTAGGAGTGCCTGACTGCTGCATTTGTTTAAAAGACTACTTTCTCACTTTACCAGTAATTATTTTCCATGGCATTGAGTTGGTCCATAAGCTATTAATTACGCTGGATGTATAAGAGATGACAGCTTTTGGGTAAGCATAGTAATTGGATACGAGAGGGGCAAAATAGCTGTTACAAGAAGATGTTTCTTCGTGCAATTATCATCATAAGCAAAGTTTAGTTTATTTGCTTTCCAAAGGAAGGTATCTGGGTGAGAGGAAGGTGGCAGGGATAGTGGGGGGAAGGAATATCTAACTTTGTGAGGGGGAGGGTTGCATGATAAATGGCCCCCGTGCCTCTTTGGGATGCCCACCGTCTCCAATGCAAGTGGTGTTTGTAAAGCAGTTAATATATCTTGTAGATCAAGCCTTCTGGTGCTTTGGACTTGCATTGTGAAGTGAATAATAGCAGCAGCTTCCTGGGGCAATGGTTCAGTGCAGAGTGTGTATTGAGAACAGCCATGTTGCACTTGAGAGCAGAACTTTGAAGTCGTTGGTTTCCACAACTGAGTGGCCTTGAACAATGTTGTCTCAAGGATTTCTAGCAAGAGAACTTTATATAACATGAAGGCGACAAATGCATTTAGAAGCATTTGGGGAGATGGGTTGCAGCAGTCCACCTTCCTAGCGCCACACACCTTCAGAGGATCATTGCCTCATGCCCAGGCAAGACAAATTAAAAGTGCCATAGCTTCATGTGCATCTTGGACCTTGTGTGAAGGACAGCCATCCTTGAAAATCCAGTGCCAGAAGCACAGAATGATGCTGCTCTCCTACTTGAAAACAGTTCGAAGATCAGTTTCCTTTAGAGAAGACAACGAAGCAGACCATCTGAGTGCGTCCTTGGACTGGGTATTCCTATGGTATTTAGTTAGACAGGAACTGGGGAGATCTGGGTTCAGAATTCCCCACAGCTATGAAGCATAAGTGGTGGAAGGCCCATAGCTCACCAGGAAAGGGCTGTAGTTCAGGAGCAGAGCATCTGCTTTGCATGCAGAAGGTCCCAGGTTCAATCCCTGACAGCATCTCTAGGTAGAGCTAGAAGACACCCCTGCTTCAAACTCTGGAGAGCTGCTGCAGGTCAGCATGGAAAACAGTGAGCTAGAATGAACAAGTGGCCTGATGCAGTAGAAAAGCAGATTCTTAAGTGACCCACCATCACAAGAAGCTACAGACAGCATTGAGTGCTGCCCAGAGGATGAGTTATGTCCTCCTTAATTTCACCACCCAATCTCCAAATTGCAAAATGAGGTTGTCCCCTGCCTTTTGGTGGTGTTTATTACTGAAACATTTATATCCCATCCTTCTCGTGACATTGCACTTGCACTTTGGAAGTCCTTCCTATCCCAAATCACATTGGTGTGAGGGGCACCATCTCTGTGGAGCCATGGGGGCTGAGGGCCCCCTAAATTTTCGGTGAAGGGGCTGGGCCCCCTCAATATTCCACAGCCCACACGGCAGGAGGAAGCCCAATGGGGCCTGCTGTGGCTGCTATGGGCTCCATCAGCTCCTCCTGCCATGTCACACATGCACGCATGCTGGGCACCCACAATGTTGGGCAGAACCCGGCACACCTGGTTGGTGCCACCCCTTTAAGACTTCAGTATTTGCCCAGGCCTTTGAGGGATTCATTGGCTTCTCTGTCAATTGCTATAATCTTTATTTTATCTTTGCGCTCTTGTCTTCTTTAGAGTCCCTGTGTGTTGCTTAGTGTTTCATTGTTGGCTATATATATTTTTACTGGCAATCAATTGTAATCTACTCTGGAATCACCTTTTACGGTGAAGAGCAGGAAAGATGTATCTTAAAGAAATAAACACATAAAATGGTATCAAACAACTATAAATAAGAGACAGGATCAGGAGTTTTAAAAACCATGGCCTGACTCGTAAAATAAAAGCCTGCCAGAAGAGTTGTTTATTCATGTGGAACAAATAGGGAGGGAGGGGGTCAATGGCACTTCATGGGGCCAGGAGATCCATGACCTGGATGCAGCCACTGAGGAGGCCTTGCCTCTTGTTCACCAGCAACTCTGCTTCCACCCCAAGTGGAAGTATTTCAGCCAGGTTCTATTAGTTGGTTGGAGAAATTGGTAGGTGTTTTCTCTGTTGCTAGATCAGAGATTTTCAACCTTTTTGAGTCCACAGCTCCCTTGACCAACAACATTTTTCTGTGGCACCCCTGTGGGGCTCAGGAGCCCAGTTATTTGCAGAGCTGGCAGCTTCCCACCTTTCTCAAACACCCTCCATTGTCTGTTCCCTACAGCAAGCACTGGTGTACAGACTGGCTGGACTCCCTTGTCCGTTTGCTTACTTACTCTGAGGCCACCTCAGCTCCTGGCAACCAGCACCCCGTGGCCAGTCCAAGAGGGACCATTCGCCTGGGGAGCTTGTAGCCAGGGCTGCTGCAACAAACAGCCACACAAGCCTTTGGGAGGCAGAAACGTGAGAAGGCATCAGAGGGAGGGAGGGAGGGAGGGAAGGAAGGAAAGAAGAACAGAGGCCAGTGTTGCCTGCAGTACCCCTGACCATCATTCATGACCATGGCACACTAGTTGAAAACCACTGCTCTAGATGATGTTGCTGAAGGCGGTTGTCATCTAAGACTGCAACCACTTCATCTGAAATCTTGCTGGATTCTCTAATAAATTCTGACAGTTTTTATTTTGTCCTCCCCACCCCCTGGTACATGTTGGTGATGCAAAGTTCCAAGAGGCTCATATGGAGAGCCATCAAGAGGTGGGGGTGGGCCTAGACCCCATAGAAAGACATTCCTGCCAGCTGTATTAGCAGCCTAAGCTAGCTAAAGTAAATTTCCTTCCTTCCTTCCTATTCCGAAATAAATGGCACACTTTATGGTGCTGTCCTTGAAGAGTACTTGGGAACTTCAAGTGGTCTAAAATGCAGCAGCGACCAGGTTGCTGGCCAGGGTTAAACAGCTGCAGTGGTTGCCAGTTCACTTCCAGGCCCAATCCAAGGGCTCACATTAGTCTTTAAAGCCCTAAATGACTCAGGCCCAAAATATATGAAAGACCCCCCCCCCCTCCGGGTGTTATCAGAAGAGTGGTCTCTCTTGGTAATTCCACCACCCTCATAAGTTTGTGGGGTGAGAACAGCAGCCTGTGAGAGGGCCTTCTCTGTGGCAGCCCCTTGGTTGTGGAACTCCCTCCCTACAGAGCTATGTCTGGCACCTTCACTATACAGCTTTACCCCGTCTTTTGCCACCGGACTTGTGTGTTTTCAAGGCCCACCCTATTTCTGTGATTGTAATTTTTTTTTTTTTAACTGAATTTTAATACTGCTACTAATGATAGACAGGGAGATAGTCAGCTTCATTTTGAGGGGTAATTAACATACAGACCACCACATGTGGCTATGTGTATCTATATCTATACAGTGGTACCTCGGGTTACATACACTTCAGGTTACATACGCTTCAGGTTACAGACTCCGCTAACCCAGAAATAGTACTTCAGGTTAAGAACTTTGCTTCAGGATGAGAACAGAAATTGTGCTGTGGCGGTGTGGCGGCAGCAGGAGGCCCCATTAGCTAAAGTGGTGCTTCAGGTTAAGAACAGTTTCAGGTTAAGAACGCCCTCTGATCTCAGGAATACCAAGGTGAAGGATGATTCCATCGTGCTGGAGAGGGTGCTTGGGGGTGCTTCTGCCTGTAGCTCAAGATGCCTCCTTGGGCCACCATCTGCACCAAAGACTAACTGAGGTGACAACTTGACATGGTCGTCATGAAGGACAAGGAGGCCCAAGATGGAATACTAGAATCAGCCTCAGCATGGACATCCAAATAAGCCTCAGAGGTATTTTATAAGTGTCAAGACAGGGATTTCTGAGGATGAGGCATTGGCACAGAAATGCAGTTTCATTACACAAATGGCAAAACTACTGTTCCAAAGTGGCTTTGTTTTTCGACACAGGCCTACTCCAACTGTCATTTGATATGTAATTTATGGTGCACTAACATATTCATGAAAGGAGTGATTGTAACACTCTTTTTATGTGCAAGGGGTAAATGGGGGGATCTGGAAAGTCATCCAGAACATCAGAAGCATAAGACAAAGGGGAGAGAGTTTTGTTCTGGAAAGCAAGATTTGGAAAAGCTTTGAATGTTCCTTCGAGAAATACTAAGATGTTGGAAAATAGAGCCAGGAAAAGGTTATATTTCTGTGTGTCCTGCTTTGTACACCAGCAACAGTGGTATCTGGTGTCCATGGGACTGGTGGGGTGGAAATCAAGGATTCCCCCACTAGGTGGAATCAGAGCCAGTATGGAGGAGCCAACAAATTTTAACTTTCTAGCACTGAGATTGCACGGTGGTGATACATGGGTGTTGTGACCCAGGTGGATGTTATGGCCTAGGAAGTATGCCAGAACCCAAAGCAAACACATCAATGCTCACAACCTCTGTCACAGAACACATTTCTGATACACAACTGACCTCAGCCTGCTAAGTGCTGAGTCTTCATAAACACGTCACCACAGTCACAACCACAATGTATCTGTGCCATTGTCCTGTATTGGAAATGTAAGGAATTCAGTGCTGCCTTGGCGTTGAAGTCCTGACAGCTCGTTAGTTTGAAGCTGCTTTCTGGTTTAAACTATTCCTCTCTTCTCCCTGCACTCCCACCTATGAACAGAAGCTGCATTTCTGGGTTGTTTTGCTAGTATAGCACTCACCATCGGCCTCTTGCTTCACCTTATCAGGTTAGTAGAGGATGCCAAGATCTCGCTGGCCTTCCGCAGAAGACATGTTGCTGGCATCAAAGCCAGGAGAGCAATAAATTCTCCTGACCCAGAACTTGGTTCCTGCAGAGGATGGAGGCCCAAGGGCACTTGAGGACAAAGGCCAGTGGTCTCTGTCAGCAAGAAGACTGTGGCAAGGCAGAAGACATGGGGATTTTAAATAAAATGTAGGCCAATTCCAATTCGTACCCCTTCTGACAAGCCTCAGCCTCCTTCACAAACATTCCCTCCCTGAATCACACCCAACAGAGAGACAACACAAGTGGCCTGCCCTTGGAGGATACTGAACCTGAATCAGGCAGAGGTGCAATGGGCAACATCCCCTATGGATGCTTTGGCATTACAGAGACGCTTGCTTAATTGGGAGCCACCCAGAGTGGCTGGGGAAACTCAGCCAGATGGGCGGGGTATATTTATTTATTTATTTATTTATTTATTTATTTTATTTCTTGTAGCAAATTCTCAGGGCTTTTGCGGCATGCCGGGTTGCCATAGCACCACTGTTTGGGAATTACTGTGCAAGCACTAGCAGCGGCATTTGCTGAGTACAGTCATACCTCTGGTTCATAGCTGTCAAGTGTCCCTTATTTGAAGGGACAGTCCCTTATTCCAGCGCCATGTCCCGCTGCTGTCCCTTATTGATGGATGTCCCTTAAATGATGTCCCTTAAATTTCAAAGGAAGCAGCTCCTCTCCCTCCCTCCCTGCCGGCCAGGGAGGAGGGAGGCTCCAACTTTGTTGCTTGGCTGTGTTGCTCACCCAATAAGAAGTCTAAGAACAACTGGGGGGTGGAGCTTGCATGCCTTGTGTGTGGCTAGTTAATGCAACCTGAGGGGTTTTTTGAATGCTGGACGCCATTTTGTTGCACGTGCTGCTGCAAACTTTGCAGTGCAAGCCAGGCCGGGGAGCCATCTTAAGTTAGGCTGCATAAGCCTTGTGGTGCATGTGATTCAGATTCTATTCAGTTGAACCTCTGGTTACAATGTTGGTTGGACAGTGCTCTCGAAGCTACCAGCATGAGTTTGATCAGACTGCAGGAGGACAGGAAGCCTGGAGTGCCTGGAACAGGTGAGGCTGCAGGTCCCTTATTTTGGCTGCTGGTCCCTTATTTTCAAGGCTGCTGGTCCCTTATTTTCAAATCTGTAAGTTGACAGCTATGCTCAGGTTACAGCCACTTCAGGTTGTGTTTTTTTGGATTGCGGACCGCTGAAACCCAGAAATACCGGAATGGGTTACTTCCGGGTTTCGATGGTCGCACATGCTCAGAAGTGCTAAATCACGCTTTGCGCAAGCGCAGAAGTGCCAAATCGCAACCTGCGTCTGTGCAGACGCGGGTTGCGAACGCTGCGGGTTGCAAATGTGCATCCTGCACAGATCACGTTCGCAACCCGAGCGTCCACTGTATACAAAAGGCCAGGGGCACAGGCCCATGACGCATATTTGCATGAAATTGTGTGTGCTAATTTATATGCACCTGTACAAATCCAGGTTGACTTTCAGACCATGGGTGGGGGGTAGGGATTGTGGCTGCCAGGGATGAATCTGGACCAGGAGGTGCCAACATGATTTTCTGGGCCTAGGATATTTTCAGTGATCTCACCCACAATCCACAGGTAAGAAAGACCTCCTTGTGTATGCACATTTTAAAATCAAAATAACGGCCTCTGGAGAAATTCAGGTGGTGGGTGAGGTCCTGCTAGCAGTACAGTGCTCCCAGTTAGGAACAGGGGAACTGCTTTATACTGAGCTGGATCATTGGTCCATCTAGCCTAGTATTGCCAACACTGACTGTCAGCAGCTTTCCATGGTTTCTGATATGAGGACATGACCAGCCCCACCTGGAGATACCAGGGACCAAAGCAACCTGGGACCTTCTGCAGATGCTCTACCACTAAGCTACAGCCCTTCTCCAGTGGGGGGAGGGTGGAAAGAGACACAATTTTATTTTTTTAAAGGGCAGGAAGCAGACGATGCATAGCCGGGCACATTAGGCTTTGGAGCTCAGGATAAGGCTACCAGATTTTTTTCAATGAATCCGGGGACACTTTGCAACTTCAATGGATTTTGTATGGGGACTATCCGGGGACTGTCCCTGGGAAACGGGGATGTCTGGTAACCTTAGCTCAGGACCCTGGACCACCCGCTAACAGCACCCAGGTTTTTGATCTGCAAATGGGGCATTGTACAGTGTGCAGAAACTTTTGCAGATGCCAGACCCAGTCATGGACAGTCTGAAATGGTGTGATGTCTACAAAATACGCCTTTATTGCCAGGCTCATTGGGGGAAATGTCTTTATGTTTTGAAAGTGTGCTGTAAATAGCAAGCAGGCTCAGTTTTCAATTGCTCGTCAGAGAATCTGCTGAGAAGACCACATGACAAACTCAATGAAATCCAGACTCCAGATGCCCAGAGGCGGCAGGGTGGGGAAGAGAGGCACTGGGTGGTGTGGTAGTGATGTGGAGAGGGAGAGAGAGAGAAAACGAAAGATCCAGGAGATGGGGAAGGAACAAGCAAGCATCCTTAGATTTTCCCAGTAAATTGCTGTGGCTGGATTCTCCTTGCTATTCTTGAACATACATGAAGTTCATTAACAAACAGGCATTAAAAAGATGCCTGAGGACAAATCAGTAATTGCTCTTTTGCAGCAAATCAGAACTTTCACCGGGGAGGGGAGGGTGAGAAATCTTCCATAAAGGCGCTGTCAAAACAAGTTGCTTAAGGATTAGCAGGAGCTAAATCCTCTGCCAGAGATATTTTTCCCCTCCATAGCAGTAAATGAGTTTTAGTATTAGAAAAATCTGAGGAAAATGCCCTGTTCTTCCTCTCAGAAGAGCCGGCTGGAAAATGTTGCTTTTTAAAATGTTGGAAATGCAAAAGTTCTCCCGTCTCTATTCCTCAGGAAGTCTGGTCTTTCACAGCTCATGTAATAGTAAGGTTTTAAAAACAGTCTGTTCTCATCACACAGATTATTACCATTTACACCATCATTGGGTGTGTGGGTGTGCATGGGCTAGTACAGTGGTACCTCGGGTTACAGACACTACAGGTTACAGACACTTCAGGTTACAGACTCCGCTAACCCAGAAATAGTACCTCAGGTTAAGAACTTTGCTTCAGGATGAGAACAGAAATCGCACGGCGGTGGCAGAGGGAGGCCCCATTAGCTAAAGTGGTACCTCAGGTTAAGAACAGTTTCAGGTTAAGAATGGACCTCCAGAACGAATTAAGTTCTTAACCCGAGGTACCACTGTAGTAGAAAAGTTTTGTTAAATAAAATAAATAAATAAGGCACCAGGGAGTAGCTGGAACCAGCATAGGTGTTCCAGGGTGCTCTGTTGCACCAGAAGTGATTTAGTCCTGCTGGCCGCATGACCCGGAAAGCTGTCTATGGACAAAAGCCAGCTCCCTCGGACTGAAAAGTGAGATGAGCGGTGCAACCCCATAGTCACCTTTGAATGGACTTAACCGCCCAGGGATCATTTGCCTTACCTTATTTACCTATGTAAAAGATGCAGTATTTTTTTAAAAAAACAGACCCCTACATGTCAACAATTTTGTAACATAGGAAGAAGCAGGTGAAGAGAAGCACAGAGTTGTTTTCAAGAAAATAAGAAGAGCCTGCTGGATCAGGCCAATGACCCATCTAGTCCATCATTTTGTTCCCACAGTGACCAACCAGATGCCTGTAGGAACCCAGCAGGCAGGATTCAAGCAGAAGAGCAACTCTCCCCTTCTGTGGTTTCCAGCAACTGGTATTCAGAAGCATTGCTGCCTTCCGCTGTGGAGTCAGAGCAGAGACATCGTGGCTAGTAGCCCTTGATGGTCCTCTCCTCCATAAATTTGTCGAATCCTCTTTTGAAGCCGTCCTCTTTGGTGGCCATCACTTCCTCCCGTGGAAGCAAGTTCCATAGTTTAAGTATGCACTGTGTGAATAAGTCCTTTCTGTGTCTGTCCTGAACCTCCCAACATTCACCTTCATTTGATTTCCACAAGTTCCAGCATTATTACGGGGGGGGGGACCTTTCTCTACCCACTTTCTCCATGCCATGAGCAATTTTACAAACTTCTATCCTGATGCCTCTCATTTGCCTTTTCTCTAAATGAAAAAGTCCCAAATGCTGCGGCCTTCCCCATCCTTTGCTTTCCCCTTTTCTCAACCCACGGGAGCCAGCTTCTAAAGGTCAAGGGGTCTTTGGGCCCCCCAAGAAAATATTTGAGAGGGCTGCCCCCCGAAGTTGATGGGCATTGCCATTCAAATGGTGTGCATGCACCACATCATGTGATAGATTATGTGGGGCGAGGCCTACTCCCCCCCCCCCATATTTTATTCAAGTTGGCACTCCTGTCTCAACCTTTTCCATTTAATAGCAACCATGTTGCCTGAATAAAACTGATAGATGGAAGATGTTTTGTCAACAACCATTATGGCCTATGCTAGCTGCGAGCTGAGAGATACACCCAGCCAAGGTTTTTGTTCTGTGTTTGGCTAGAGAGAAGCAGCCGGCATTTCAGCAGACTTGCCCTTGCACAACCTCAGCTTGCTCTCAGCCAGCCCCACTTATGCCACCCAGGAGGTGGCACTGCCAATCAGGTAAATCCTATTTCATCTCAGTGTTGATTCCTGCATTGCAGGCGGTTGGACTGGATGATCCTTGTGGTTCCTTCCAACCCTTCTATGAGTCTATGATCCTGGAGAGCTGCTGCCAGTCAGTCAGTGACTGAGCTTGATGGACCAAAGGTCTGACTCAGTATATGCCAGCTTCCTACATTCCTCTTGTAAAGGAGGAGGCTTAAGGAAACTCCAAGGCCTTTGGGGGGAAACCAGTGCTGCTCTAATAATGAGCCCATGTCTGGGCGGCTGATGGCCTCACTCATGCACAACTTGTGAATTTCTAAACAAGCCATCTTGCAGGCTTGCTGTGTGTCTCCAATACTAGCACTTCAGAAGGAAATTGGCCCCCCATACACTTCCGCTGCTTGGAAGAAGTGGGGAAACATGCAAAGGCATCTTTGTGGATAAAGCCACACAGCTTTTGGTCTGGACAGTAGCCCAAAAGCTGCTTCATTCAGGCTCTGGGGACATGCGTTGATGTGTATGTTTTAAAGTGAGCCCAGACCCTGGCAGATGTCAAAGCCTTTACCATCGGGAGTTCCAAGGCTTCGTATTTAATACATTGTCAATGAGGAGCCATTAAGCTTATTGTCTTTAAATCATTTGGACAAGCTTTTCAGTTGAACCTGTCACTTGGATTTATATCACAAAGACAAAGCTGTAGCTGTCTGTTTTCATATTGTGGATTTATTGAGGGAAGCCGCTTCACAAAACAAGGTGCCCTTAGAACACAACCCAGAACACTGCACACACAGATGCACACAACAGCCCATTGAGGTGTACCAGCTGCATTGCAACTTATCAGTTAGACAGAAAGACAGGCAGAGAGGGAGAGAGGGAGAGAGATTTCTGGTGTGGAAAATCTGGAGAGCAATTTGTTCTCCAACTTGTAATCCTTGAAAGTGGGTGGCTGTGGGGGCAAGGGGTCATCCAAAGAACTACATGGCAGTAAATTCAGGGCAGGCAAAATAAAGGACATCGCAGAATGCATAGTGAACTTGCAGAACTCATTGGCACCTGATGTGATTATGGCCACTAGCTAGATGGCTTTGAAAGGGGATTCATGGAGGATAGACCAACTGAACTTGGCTCAATTTCTTGGCCAGTGAAGGAGCAACTGCAGAGAAGCCAGTTCATTTCTCCATTTTCTGGATCCTGTCTGGAGGGAAAAAATACTTGCTCTGACACTTGCCTTGGGACAGCAGAAGCAAGCCCCTTTCATTGACCAAGAGCTGCCAATTGCTATTGAGGCAAGAAGACCAGCCAGAGAATGGCCTGAACTGGATACACAGTGTGACTTCTTCTACACCCCAAATTCTTGAAGGGCAAGGCTCTCAACAGCTACTAGCCACAATGGCTCTGTTCTGCCGTCGTGCTCTGAATACCACTTGCCCGGGACTCACAGGGGAGCAGAGTGCTCTTGTTCTCACATCCAGTTTGCAGGCTTTCCACAGGCATCTGGGTGTCCACTGTGAGAATAGGATGCTGGACTAGATGAGCCACTTTTGGCCTCACCCAGCAGACTCTTCTTATGTTATTATGTGTGCTGCTATGTTCTTATGGATTTCAGCCCCAACAGCTATGTGGAAGTTCCATATTCAGAGATAGTCTATTTTTAAATGCCAGATGTAGTGGAGCAACAGTGGAAGAAGGCTTATGTTGGTCCACCTGAAGCCAAGATTAAAGGAAGGGAACATTTTCCTGTGCCATTGATCCACACAACGACCCTGTGAGGTAGATGAAATTATTCTTTTCCAGACAGGCATCTAGGGCAGAGAGAGTAACTAAACAAAAGTCACTAGGGCGGAGCTGAAATTTAACAATAATCACCACCGAGTACAGTGGTACCTTGGGTTACAGACGCTTCAGGTTACAGATGCTTCAGGTTACTGACTCCGCTAACTCAGAAATAGTACCTTGGGTTAAGAACTTTGCTTCAGGATGAGAACAGAAATTGTGTGGCGGCGGCGGCAGCAGGAGGCCCCATTAGCTAAAGTGGTGTTTCAGGTTAAGAACAGTTTCAGGTTAAAAACGGACCTCCAGAACGAATTAAGTTCTTAACCCGAGTTACCACTGTATTGCCTGTAAACGTAAGGACTAGCAACTTAAACAAAACCTTGAAGCTCAGATTCTTAGGGAGCTGAAATGTACATTTTGCGCTTGTTTTATACTCCTACAAAACTATGGCAAACATGCAGCCCTGGGGATGCATAACTGGGCTAGCCAGCTCTGTATCTGTGTCACAGAAAGAGAGAATATTTCTTACTAAAAACAGAACAGTTCTTTTCCTGTTCAGTT